CATTAAAGCTCAGCTCACACATAACAAGGAAGGAACACGTTGTCCTATTCGAATGTGATCTGTGAAATGTTGAGCCACGCTTGAAGAGAACCATATCCTGTGTGACTTCCCGCCAACCTCCTCCTTAGCCGTTTTGGCTCAACTGTTTGCGGATCGTCGTTCTTCTTGCGGCATACCGAGGTATCGCACGCCGCACGTTCGAGGCGCCAGGCACGTGCCATGACGAGCCCGTCGTCGTGCTCGCCACTGCCTTCGACAGCCAGCGTGGCCGAGGTGGTCGCAGGGATTTCTCAGGAGGATCGCTTCGACAACACAGGGAAATTCCAAGCGATCGGAGACATGATCCCGACCTTGGACGGCGCTGAGCTCCAGCAGGCCGTTGACATGATGCACCTCCTTGTCCCTTCGATGTCGCTGGCTTTCACCAGCGAGCCCGAGGGCAAGGGTGAATGGCTGCACGCCCGCGACCCCCTCAACGACAGGGGCGACGCCGCCACGGTGCAGGAGCGCAAGGCAAGTGTGGAGGCGAAAGGCATCTTCACTGGATTGCGCTCAGGAGCTTGGTGTAGGCCGCAGACTAATACGCTGGTAGTGACGCCGCAGACCAAGATGTATTTCATGCACTGGGCTTCTCTGATGGAGGGGTTGAAAGAAGCTTTCGAAGACGCTGCCAACAGCAACAACAGTAAGGTGCTCAACTCGGTGATGACAGGCATTGCCAATTGCAAGGTCTACAGGTACGACATGCCCGACCACGTCGTCAGCTACGTCGTTGGCCTTGGCAACGAACAGGATGAGGAAGCAGCCGCGATGATATTCCTGCAAGTCTACCGCTCCACCATCCTTGCGAACGCCTCGTGGAAGAGGAAGGCGGACGGTGCGCACTGGACGAACAAATCGCTTGGACAGGGTCTGTACGAGTCAAAGAAAATCGACCATGAACAAGATGTTCAAGGGCGGGCTTCGCTGGGTGAACGTCAAATCATTTGAGCGGAGCTTTTCCTTTTTTCGGGACGCTAGCAAGATTAAGATGACTGATGAGGACGCCACCCTGTGGACTACCTACAACAAATGGTGCATGCAACATTGCGACTTCAAGTGGGTCCAGAGCGAGATGAAGAACGCCGTGATCTTCAAGAACAACTCTGGTCCTGAAAACGTTCGCCTGGTCAAGCCCCGAACGCGCCATGGACGCGTTGAAGTGCATGCTCCCGCGGCTCCATAGCAAGAACAAGTGCGGCATCACCATGGTTGGGAAGAGGTGCGTCGAGCACGTCACTGAGGACACGCTTCTCGGCCTCACGAGCAAAGTGAGCAATGACAAGATCAAGCAGGTCATCTCGGACGAGATCATGAAGCAGGGGAAGAAGGCTGCTGCTGCGGCAAAGAAGGAGGCGGGGAAGAAGGACAGTTCCACCGCCAGGAGGCAGAATTCGAGCCCGACTCAGACAGTGGCGGACCCGTCTGAAGAGCTCAACCAGGATTGCATGCACGGGCGGATCGATTGCTTGATCACCCAATGCTCGGAGGTCTTCTGCATGAGCAGCAACGAGGTCGATACCATCAAGGGCATTTGCTTGACGGCGGCCCTCGAGGGCCAGGTGGCCCTCGCCATCCAGGATGGGAAGCCCAAGGTGTACAAGTGTTGGACGAGCCTGCGGAAGGTCATCAGGAAGTACGCCGCTTCGGTGAGCGGGGTTGTCACCGATCGCGACATCGACGACGACAGCGATGAGGATGATGACGATGATGCGGATGATCGCACCATCGAGAGCTGGTCAGAGGGCGACGCGATCACCTACCTGACGACGGAGGCCAACGTCACCATGATGAAGACCGCGGTCGCCTTCTTCAAGCAGAACGATCTTGCCGTGCCGATTGCTTGCCAGATTGCACCATCGCAATGTGCCAACACTTGCCTTATGCAGGTCATGTCGGATATCCACGCGGCGAAGCCCGAAGAGCAGCACATCAACGACAGCACCCTCTTGGACATCGTCAACGGCCACGCTTGGGCAACTATTACATCCGTGCTATCCGACGAGCTCGTGACCGCCCTGGGCCAGCTGGAACTCCTGAGCGCCAACGAGAAGCTACGCGCCGCCATCCAGGCGCAGACTCCGACGGAGAACTGCTCGTCGGATTTCTTGCAGCTGAAGGAGATGGGCGTCGGCCGTCAGGGAGTCAGGACTCCTGCTAATCAAAGTTTCGTTTCCTCTGCCATCCTCCTCCTTCCTCCTGCCCTCGCCTGTGTCCTCCCCCTCCCCTTCCTCCCCCGACGTCCTCCCTCCTCCTCCTCCATCCCCCTCCCCCCCTTCCTCCTCCCCCTCCTCCTTTCCTCCTCCTCCTCCTCCTCCTCCTACTCCTCCTCCTACTCCTCCTTCCTCTTCTCTCCCAGCTGCGGCAGCGGAGGAGGGTGTCCTTTCCAAGCCCCTGGGCCCCCTGGGCCGAAGTTCGGCCCAGGGGCTTGGATCGGCCGCCGAACCTGCCAGACTGCGGGCTGCGTGGGGGGAGGGGAGGAGGAGGCGGAGGAGGAAGGAGGTGGCCGGGCAGGGAGGATAAAGGGAGGAGTTTTTTTTTGCGAGCCCGAAGGGCCATGCGGATCAAGTACTGGCTGCTGGTTCTCACTCGCGTTGGCGCCATTCCCTTCAAAGGCGTGCCCGCCAACTCCGTTGACGCCTGCATGCGCGCCATCTTGCCGTCGGAGTTCATGCATTTTGTCAGCGGGCTGCTGACGAGCGGCACCGCGCCCGACGAGCTGCTGAAGATCGCGGACGGATCGGGCCTGAGCGACATTGCATTCCTCAAGGCCACTGCGAAGGAGCTTCTTCGCGCCTGCGAGTTTGTTCAGACTCATAGCTCCACGGAGTTCCAGGTGAAGCTGAACACGTACAAGCTCGTCTTGGAGAAGGCTTCGACCGCTCATATCATGAAGGAAGCCGAGAAGTACCAGGTGGCTTGCCCGAACTTGTCCATATTCGTGGCTGAGAAGGCGGCCGTGGCGCGCGGTCTCGTAGCCGCCTTCGAGCAGCGACACGTGGACGATAAGGCTGCCAGTGAGCTCGTGGCCGCGGGTACCTCAGAGGCGGCGCTGCTGCGGCGCATCCAGGCGGCCTTCGCGTCGACGCTCAAGGTGGGGCACTCGCCGAGCAAGAAGCGCGCTCGGCAGTCTGAGGCGATTGTTCCAGTTCCAGCTGAGGGCGACGATGTGCCTGGAGAGATCGATATCCGCTCAGTTTTTTTTAGGGCCATGTCCGACGAGGCGGCGCCAGAGGGCGACGGCTCCTTCGACTATGCCAGCTGCGGCGTTGTCACCAAGCTGCTGTGCAACAAGCTCCAGGCAGATTTGTTCGCGAACGCAGCGTCGGGCAACTGGCTGAAGGGCTTGGGCGGAGTCTTCTTCGAGCTGGGCACCGACAAGCAGGGGGCCCCCAAAGTGGTGGACATCTTCCAGCGCCCAGGCTCGATCCAGACATCCTTCGAGTTGTGGGGCCGCGTTGTCCCTAAGGCCGTTGCTCGCAGCATTAATCGCGCCAGCCTGATTCCTATCGGCAGTTCGCGCGGCATCGAGTTGTTTTTAGAATTTTATGGCCATTTCGAGTACGGCCTTTCAGAGAGCTGCCCAGGTTGGCTGGTCAAGCCGACAAGGGTCAGGCCAGCTCCGAAGCCGAAGGCCATGCCCAACGGCAAAGCCAAGGGCAAGGCCAAGGCGAAGGACGCTAGCGCTGGCGCCTCTCTTGTCGCCGAGCTGTCCGCTGACAAAGCTGAGAGCGTAGTCGCTGAGATTGCGACCCACCGCGTCGATCACGAGGATTGGCACATGACCATCCAAGTGTTCGGCAAAGATGTTTCTTTCACGTTTCAGAAGCCGCGTTTGGTTCAGATCGCTTCAGGGGTGGAGGAGGGCGTCCCCCTGCGGAGGAGCCTCGAAGCGATCGATACGAACCCGCACTACTTTGCTGCTGGCGACTCGGCGGCGGCGGGCGGGCAGAAGCAGAACACTAAGAAGCCCCGCTTGTCGAAGCAGACGTGTTTCGCAAACAAGTGAGCATGCGGAGCGTCAATTTGACTCCGCGCCCAATTTTGTTTCAGACCCTGTGGTCTGGCCCAGACCGTCTGGGCTCTCCCCGAACTTCGGTCTCCAGAGCTCGCAGCTACTCGAATGTCTGGATTAGTACGGGACAATGGAGGACAGCAGGAGGAAGAGGAGGAGGAGGAGGAGGAGGAGGCGTCTTTCGAGTTGGAGTGCATGTACATAGTACTACTCGTTGCATCGGGGATAGCACTGAGGCTACTCCACAGCTGCGTTTGGTTGCCGACGGGGATGCATATCGGCGCACGACGCCTCTCTGTTCGTTCGCGGTTTCTTGAGCCGATGTGGTTGACAGCGAGATAGTGAGAGCAAGGTTCCTCATCGTATCGTCCTCCTCCGCTGCCCTCCTCTCTGCCATTGCCCAGCCCATCCTTCTCTTTCCTCCAGCTCCGACCGACGCTGCCGTCGGCATCGTCGCGTCGGCGCTGACGTTGGTGCTGCTGCCGCTGTTTTTTTTTGTCATCCCCGCGTCGGCACTAGTTGAGTTCGGTTCGTCTTGGAATCATGTTTTTGGAGGCCCATGGTGCAAATGTCGCTGTTTCGGGTGCGCATGTTATTCAGTAGGCTGTCGCCGACTTTCAACCAGACCACCCCAAAAAACAATTGACAAGGCAATCGTTCGCAGCGCTGGAAAATAAACAACACCATACGAAAAAAAAAAAAAAAAAAAAAAAAAAAAAAAAAAAAAAAAAAAAAAAAAAAAAAAAAAAAAAAAAAAAAAAAAAAAAAAAAAAAAAAAACGAAGTCGAATCGGACGCATGCATTGTTACAATTCATCCGACACTGACAGCGCAAACCCATATCATCACGTTGCAAAACTATATGACGTCGAAGGCCCAAAGGGCCAGAGTCAATGTGGCGATCCTTGCAAAACGAGCTCACGCAACCTCCTCATCGTCACCGCCTGATGGCGGCGCTCGAACCGGGGTCAAACGCGTGCGTGCGCGAGGTACGACGAGGTCGGCCCCCCGGGCGCGCTATGGCACGAGAGGCTTCTTGGCCTGGGTTACCGCCAGCCTCTATGTGGTGCTGACGTCGGACTACGACATTTTCATCCAGCAGTTGGACATCGCGAGCACAGACCTCAGGGGGTTGCGTTTCGGCCCATCGGGCGGGGGACTCCCCGTGGGCCTGGCGGGCGGCCGGGTGTACCGTTTCACCGTGGCGCCCGCGCCGGCCGAGCTCGTGGCGCTGCTGGCCGAGGGGGATTCAGCGGCGATCGTGGAACGGCAGGCGCGCGGGCTGGCCCAGCCCGCGGGCGCGGCCGCCGCAGGCGGCGCGGAGGGCATCGCCCGCAGTGCCGCTGCCGCTGCCCGCGCCCCCGGCGCCGCCCACCCCCGGCGCGACGGCCTCGCACGGCGCTGGTGGCACGCGGGTGCTGGACGTGCCCGGCAGGAGCCGCGTGGTCGGGCAGGAGGCGCTGCCACCTGCGGCGCTCGATGTCGGCGGCCGCTCCGCGGTGACCCTCGCGGGCGAGGTCTGCACGGTGACGCGGCTCGAGCCGAACGCGGACATCGACGCCTGGGCCCGCGCGGGGCGAGCCGCGGTTGCTGGCCATGGGTGCGCGGCGCCGAGGACCACGCCCTCTCTGGCCGGCGCCAGCCTGCTGGTCCGCGAGCCGAGCGTGCCGATCCGCCTGCGGGGGCCCCCCCACGATGGGCGACGCGGTCAGCGGGCTGCAGTCGCGGGCACCAGGTGGGTTCCTGGCACCCCACGAGCGCTGGCTCGCCGAGTCGCGCGTGGGCGCGGGGCCCCGATCGGCGCACGAGCACCGGGGTGATCTCGAAGGCCCTCGAGCTCGCGGTGTCCGACGGCCTCGACCTCGCCAACCTCACCTCATATGGAGTACCTGAACCGACGCCGGCAGCTGCTGACCCCGAGAAGGCGGACTTCGAGGGCGCGCACCACGTCATGGGGGAGGACGAGGTGTCGTCAGGCGCGCTGGCGGCGCCGTCGCTGCGGGAACACGTGGCGGCGGAATTCTCGAGGGAGGGCGCCATCGACAAGGAGCGCCGCAAGGCGAAGGAGGCGAAGAAACCAGGCCCCAAAGGGGCCAAGGAGAAGGACTGACCGCTCGCGCGAGCCGAGGCGGCGGGGCTCGATCCCCACCTGTCGCAGCTGCCTCGCCAACTTCAAGTCGCCGGGCGCCGCCCCGCGGCGCAGGTCGCCCTCCCCAGAGGGTCGCGGATCAACGGAAATGGATCCGGCAGTTTGCGTGGGTTGGGCATTAGCAAAACGACTCAACGAGGTCTGCCAAAGCAACCCAGCGGATCAACAACCAACCATCGCGGATCAATCTTAAGATCACGGTGTTGTATGATGATGAATGATAATGTTAAAAATCTCTACGAATCACAATATTAGGGTGAATGAACATAGTATGCATATGATGATAAACCACCACAGTTTGCAACTGTAGCTCAAATCAATTAGCGCCGCCCGTATGTATATCATGGCGAATCACCATGTTACGGTGAACCACCGAATTGTACATGTGATGACGAATCTCCATATGATACAAGTGGTGGTCGTTGCTCCCGCGCGTAGCGTAGCAAAATGGCACAGCATGGCGTAGAATAGCGCATGCAGCTGGCGCTTGCAAATCTGCATCCCGCACATTGCTACGCCGTTAACATGCGCCCTCCATCCGCGTAGCCGCTGCAAAGTTTTTCCAACTATCACGAAGGCACTGCGGTGCGACACCGCGCGGCGCCGCAAATGTTGCAGGTCGCGCGGACGCGCATGCGGTTCTCATACCATCAAAACGCGGAACGATCATACGAAACAGCGCTCGTCGATGTCCTCAGGCATGTTGCCTTGTGCGCAATAGCTTGCATAAACATTGCAATGTGCAAATGAGCCAAGTTGCTGCTCATGACACATGCGCGTGCTAACGATTCCACGAACCATACATTGTTTATGGTGGAATTTTCAACTTCCAAATTTCCAGGGGGCGGGGAAATGTGTGCCTCTCCTCCTCCCTGTCTAGCTGCGCCTCGTCCTCCTCCTCCTCCCCCTCCTCCTCCTCCTCCTTCTCCCCCTCCTCCCCCTCCTTCCCCGACCTCCCTCCTCCTATCCTCGCCCCTCCTCCTGGCCCCTCTTCCTTCAATTTTCAATGCCTGCAATTCAATTCAATGCACGTGGCGCCCCTGAGGGCCCAACTTCGGGGAGCTCGGGCCTTCCTGAGGGCCCCTCGCGGTCGCAGAGGGCCTTCGTGAGGGCCCATTTTCGGGGAACTCGGGCGAGCGAGGCCCCACAGCAGAATGTTGTTTTTCGCCGAGGTGTTTTCCCCCATCGCTCACGCGAAACTCTCACGCGCCCAACCGCAAACACACGATGGCGCGCGCGGTTCCACCACGGTAGGATTTCCGAGCCGAGTCCAGCCGGGGCGACGCTCACCTCGGATGGATCACCATTCTGCCGTGTCGCCTCGCGCCGCGTCGCAGAAAGGCCTCCCAAACAAACCTGCAACCTCAAGTAAGCAAACGCGAGGCTCCAAGGCAGGAGGATTGTTTCGCCGAGCCGCCGCGCGCAAAAGAAATACACGCCACATCAAGGGCGCGCAACAGTTTTCCGAGCCGAGGCCAGCCGCGGCGACGCTAACTTTGGCTGAATTGATCCTTCTGCCTTGGAGCCTCCAAACGCTTCGGGCTTGGAGGACCGAGCCAGGGAGAGAAGGGGAGGGTCATCCAGAAAAGGCCAGGTGCAGGCGCCAGCGTGCGCCACGTGCTGTCGACGCGCCTACTTTGACAGGCGGGCAGGGCTGCAAGGGGCAGGGCGGCTGCATGTGAAGGGTCCAGCGCATTGCGATACATATATATGTGTATATATATATCAGGCGTTGATTGTATGTGTGTTTTTGTTGAGTGCGTGTGCGTGCTGGGTTCCCCTTCACGGCGCGAGAGCAGACGCGGCCTTCGCCTCGTCGCTCATGCCCTCGGCAAGACATGAGGCAACTAGCACGCAAAATGGGGAAGGGTATTCCTGGGACTCACGCTGGCGTTTCTTGTCGCCCGTCGTCCACCCCCCTCCCCAGGAAGTGCTTTCAGCGCCATCCCTGCGTGGAGTAGTCACTGCAAGCATTTGTTTCTGATCACCTAATCTAGCATCGGCTTCCTGCTTTGACCTCGCAAGCTTATCCAGAAAAGATGCGGTGCCTCGCAAGTCCAGCGGCTTTGGGGAGACACCGCCGAAAAAACCAAGCCACGTTGTTACATGATTTGCCGATGTCATGTCGAGGGCGGATGCAACCTCTTGCACCCTATACAAAAACGAACACTTCGGTTGCTCTATGACGTAGGCAACGGAGCGGGTCGCAAGGAACATCATGATGTGAGACCTTGCTGGGCGGACGGGGCGGGGGAGCACGTGGACGCGCCCGCGTTGCGCGAGGGAGGGGGGGGGATGAGGGGGAAGTGGGCGAGGGGGAGTAGGGGGAGAAGGAGGAGGGGCTGGAAGAACAAGAGATAGAGAGGGATAACAAACAAATAAAGCTGATATAAGTGGACGAAGAGGAGTAGGGCGAGAAGGAGGAGGGGCTGGAAGAACAAGAGATAGAGAGAGATAACAAACAACTAAAGCTGGGATGGTGAAGAAGGGGGGTGAGGATGAGGAGGGAGGCGAGGATGGGAGGGATGAGGATGGAGATGAGGAAGGGCGTGGAGGACAGGGAGGGGGAGGAAGAGGGGGGGAGAAACACGATAGCTCCCTTGCCGCCCTGCTCATTTTTCCTGGTCCTCTTCCGATGTCCCTGCCACCTCCTTTCTGCCCCGTCGTCTCCCTCCACCTCTCCTCCCCATCGCCCCTCTCGTTTAAGCCCTGTGGGACATCAAGCGAGCAACGTAGTTGCCCTGGCGGCAGTCGGAGCGCAACTCGTGACCCACGGGATCGACAATTGTCCTGCCAGTGTGGTGCATAGCGATCTGCACGAACGTGGAGCACTGCGGCGACATCCAGACAACGCCGCCGCAGACGACCGACGCCGCAGCGAAAAGGAAATACAACGTTCCCACCAGCGTGGTTAGATTCTGCCACTCAAAATCATCCTTCTCGACACTTAGCGACTGAAGACCGTGGGATTGGACGCGACGAGAAATCCCTGCCGAGCCAGCGCACATTTCCACCAGACTGCACGACCGTGGAATCATACTCAGGTCGCTTCTCCAGCGGTCCAGTACTTCCTGGAATTGTATTACAGTTGCGACGGTCATGTCGCTCGGAATCCCCCGTTCCATCAGGTCTAAACCAACAGTGACAGCCCAATCAAATCCAATGTAATTCGGGCGCAGCGGCCGTCGGTGCGCAGCAGGCGACGAGGCTGCCGTGAGGAACAATATCACCAATGGAACGCGCCTGATACCAACTCTAACCATGGTCTCCCACTGAAGAAATGGCGAGGCTGACAGAGCCGTCCGAGAAGGTCAATAAGGCGATGCACTCGGTGGTGGAATGTGTTCCTGTGGGGGAATACGGCTATGGATCGCAAGAACTTGTTCAATGATTCATCCAAGTATGTCGAATAATGTTTGGGAACGCCTTGCCATCTAATCCTTCGGAGCGCACGAAACCCCCCTTCCTTACTGCCTCCTCTCTGACCTCGCCCTGCAGGGAGAGGGGGAAGACGAAGTCGGATTGGAGGGAAAGGAGGAGGAGGAGGAGGCGGAGGAGGCGGAGGAGGAGGAGGGGGGGGAGGAGGAGAAGCAGAAATAGCAGGGTGATGAGACAGAACGAGAGGAGGATGAGGAGGACGATGCTGGAGGAGAGAAGAATAAGGTCGAGGGTGCGACGATGAAAGGGAGGGTTACAGTGGCTGGAGGACGAAGTCTGAGGACTCCTCCGTCACTCCAGCGTCTGTTCGTCCTTCTCTTTTCTCACCCTGGCTCTTCCTCTCTATCTCCTTCGATTTGCCAGCCTCCTCCTCCCTCCTGCCTCCTCATCCTCTCGTGCCCCTGCTTTCGTGCGTCGTCCTCGCCGTCATCATCGTCGTCGCCTTTGTTTTGCCTCAGGGTTCGGCCCTGCCCTTCCCCGCCCTCCAAAAGCAACCGGTGCGAGGGAGGCGTTGCTCTCAGTTTTTTTTCGAGCCGCGTCCAGCCGAGAGGTCGACGCCAATTGCCGCCTGACCCCCAGTGGCACGTAGGTGGGGGACGTAGGCTTGTAGAACGCAGGGCAGTGAATTCCCAGGCTCCTGTGTATCATGTGGCACAGGAGGTGATGCTTCGGAGAGATCCCAATGGATGCGGCCTTGCAGCAAAACATGTGTGCATCCAGAGCCGCACACAGTCGTTTCATCCCATCGGCCGTGGGGACCCCCTCGTGCGCAGCCATCTCGCTGCGAAGTCTTTTCAAAGATGCCCCCGCCCCCAGCAAGGCCGCACCGAATCGAGCAGCACCTCCATGTTTAATCAATTGCGAGGTGGCAAAGTCAATCATGATGGCCACCTCCGCGGCCTTGAGCGACATCGCCGAGCCAGGGTGCAAAACGCTCTGTAGAATAGGCATTGTTGTTTTAGTTTTTCCGCGAGGGCAGGGAAGAACTGATCCGAAGAGAATGCCAAACATTGCACGAGTGATCTGATGAAACGAGATCATCAGCGCAAAACTGGAATCGCGCACCACGGGCACGGCTGGCCATATTGAATCTGACTGTATACCCAGCATTGCTTGCAGTTTTCTGGTCCTCTGTCACGTTACCCCCAGCGATTTTCCTGTGGAATACTGGTACAAGTGCGAATTCACACGCCAAATCACACGCGTGTGATTTGGCGTGTGAATCGGCATTGGCCCCAACGCTTGAATTAGAGAGAACGCGGAAAGGGCGCTGGCAGTACGTTGCAGGGGGGGAAAGGACTTGACCGATGAGGAATGAAGGAGGATGCCGAAAATGATGATATGATGGGACGCGTGGGAGGAGTTTGCCAAAGCCGACAAAGCTCGTGGAGGATTTGAAGGTGGGACAAGCAGAGGGATGGCGAGGGAGAGCGAGGAACGAAAGGGAGAAGATGAGGAGGAGGATATTGGTTCAGCAATGTTTCCAGAGCCGCTCGTGGGTGGCTCATCCCCGCGGAGCGCCC